TGCTTGCAGAGGCTCTGGTCGTCCATACTTGGTCGATTTAGCGCAACGGCTGGTCTTCTTCCAGACTTAGACGTTTTGGCACAACAGCGTCTTCAGATGATCCATTCTTAGTCCATATTGCTTAATAAAACCTTTTAAGATAATTATTAGCATCAATTTGATGCTAACAAAACAGTTGATATTGATTTTGACCGGTTGAAAAAAGCAACTGTTATAAATTATTTTTGACAACTATTGTGAAGAAATTCACCTGCTTGAAAATCTATTGACCGAAAACCCATAATCTGGATTATCCGGTTGGGTTGGTGAAGGAAGGGAAACTTAAATCTGTAATCGACTTGATCGAAAAGGCTTGGGACAAGAGCATCATGTAAACTTATATGCCTATTGTAAACTTACTTTTTAAACTATTTTACACCTGTTTTTTCATTTTTTTTCCTTTTTCTAAGAGAGCTATATAAGTAATGTTTTTTTTATGGAAAAGTATTTATATGAGTTGAGTCCCATTTAACAAAAAAAAATGCATTGGCATGTTTAAAATCAAAAGCATGTATTTAAATATTTATCGTAAATATCATTATGATTTATTGAGAAACACTTTTTTGGCATATTCTCATCCTCTGCTGCAAAGTTAGCATTTGAGAAAGTTTTGAAAAGAAGTTCTCTACCGATGAACCACAAACTTCAACTTCAAAATCATAATAGCAACCAAGAATAAAATTCTCAACTTGTATTCTATTTGTTAAAAAAGTTCAACATTAGTCACCATTTTTTTTAAACCATATGTGTCTAGGTTAGCTTGCTTGCACCTTGATTAATCTCAAGAGTCCTGGAAAATTAGAAAGAAGATCCCGATAACAACATCAACTACCACTTATTTTCACATAAGGAAACACGTTTTATTTTTCACAACCTTAACACTAATTTGCCTTTTATTCTTTTTCACATTCTACATAAAATATGTAAAACGGTTCCACATATATGTTTTATTTGGTAAAAACCTATTTTTACCGGGTATTCTTACTTACATCTGTTCATTATCTACTTTCAGCTATTTTATACGAGTATACAATTAGTATCGAGATGAACAAAAAAACAGATAAAATGAAACATGATTTTCATTTCAAATTATCGACTTTGAATCAAGATATACACCGCAACATTGTACATAAATCAGATAAATATTGAGTTTTTCTTGAAAAGGCAAAAACAATTTGAATTCAATTTTATTTATTACAACATTATTATGAGTTACAAGGAATAAAAGTATTGGAAAATGTTTTATAGCAGAAGAAGTGGTGTGACACAATCAGGACGCAATCACATCGGCAACTTCTGCTTAATCATTCCTTCACTTCTCTTCTCTGTGGCCAACGGAGACGACGGAAGCAACTGTGACGATTGCATTTACAAAACCCGACGACGAGCTCATTCTGGTAATCTGCAGCATTAGGAACTACTTTTGTAAGATTGTTCATCAGATCTCCTTGATTTCAATATTTTTCTTGTATTTTCTCATCTCCAAATCTCTGATCTTGGAGTATAGGGAGCAAAATTCTGTAGCATAGTTTGAAATACTGCTAGGATTGATTGGAAAACAACTTTCATTTTAGGGTTTTAATCGAAATTGTCAGTGACTGTAAAATTGATTGAAGTTGAAGTTTTTAGGGTTTAGAATCCGATGTCGTCTCTCAAGTGGGTTTAGGAGTATGGTAGATTAATTTGATCATGGTGGTTAGAATTCTGGGATTGACTCGCGGAGAGGAGTCGTCGCCGAGGGAGATCACGCGGAACAATCTATTGAGTGAGAGTGGTGGAGAGAGTGGTTGGTTGATCAGATTCTTCGATTCTTCCTTCTTTTGTGAGTGGATTGCGGTTAGTTATTTGTACAAGCATGATCACCCAGGGGTTAGGGATTACCTCTGCAACAGGATGTACACTCTCCCACTATCTGGCATTGAAAGCTACTTGTTTCAGATATGTTACATGCTTGTCCACAAGCCCAGTCCATCGCTTGATAAATTCGTTATTGATATATGCTCCAAATCGCTTAAGATAGCACTGAAAGTGCAATGGTTCTTGATGGCAGAGCTTGAGGATTCAGATGATAATGATGGGATTAGTAGAATACAAGAGAAATGTCAGATTGCTGCTACCTTAATGGGAGAGTGGACGCCTTTGATTAAACCACAAAATGAGCCCACGAGCAATGGTGGCAAGAACCAAGTTCTTACTAGGTTACTATCCTCAAAACAACGGTTATTATCATTAGCAACATCTCCTCCGCCTCAGAAGTCTTTCTCTTTCTCTTCTTCTGCAGCGAACCCTTCGCAGGATGAAGGTAGTAGCAAGGCCTCACCAGATGATAATACAATATTTAAGAAATTCATTCCTAGTCCAAAAGTGCGGAATGCATTGCTTTTCAGGAAATCCATTGATAAAGACGAAGAGGAACCTGACAAGGATGGGTTCTTCAAGAGGCTTTTACGAGATTCTAAAGATGAGGATGAATCAGACAAGGATGGTTTCTTCAAGAGGCTTTTACGAGATTCTAAAGATGAGGATGAATCAGACAAGGATGGTTTCTTCAAGAGGCTTTTACGAGATTCTAAGGATGAGGATGAATCAGACAAAGATGGTTTCTTCAAAAGGTTTTTAAGAGATTCTAAAGATGAAGATGTGCGAAAGTCAGTCGAGAGAGATGACGAGGACAAGGAGAAGGATGGATTTTTCCGTAGGTTTCTCAAAGATAGTAAAGATGAAGATGAGGTCACATCAAGCTCGGATAAGTTTTTTAAACGGATATTTCGTGATAATAAAGGAGATTTGGAGGAAAAAACGGTTTCAAAATCTGCAGAAGGTGATGATAAAGATGGGTTCTTTCGGAAACTTTTCAGGGATAAAAGCGAAGAAGAAGAGAAAGTGACGAATTCTGTCGAAGATGATGAGAAAGAAGGTTTCTTTCGGAAAATCTTTAAAGAAAAATTTGAAGACAAGAAAGATGAAGCTGCTAGCGAGGAAGGCAATGGGCATGCAAATGGTGTGGACGAAGAACCTTCGGACTTTCCCTTGTTCCGCAGATTGTTTCGTATGCAATCTGATGATACCAAAACTGTACCGACAAATGAAAACATCAATGGTGGTGGGCTTGAAAGCAGTCCAGGAACAGAGATTTTTTTCCGCAAGTTATTCAGAGACCGCGATCGTTCTGTGGAAGATTCAGAGCTTTATGGATCAAAAAAGAACAAGGAGGTTAGTACATATATCTGTGATCGCTGTTCTTTTTTTGTTCTTTTAGCTCCTTTTGTAAAGAGATTAAATTGTTCCAGAGTGTGGTAGCATGGTCTAGTTTGTGGGATTGGTTTTCTGGATTATTAATGAGCAAATATTATGTATCTTAAAAATAAATTAGAAGAGATGCTCTACCCGTTCAAGATATGGTCTATTATGTTTTCTCGAAACCAGTGTCATAGTTGATTAATTCTACTCTTTGGAGCTTTATCTTCTTGTTGATTAATTCTTTCCATAATCCTAACAGCTAGATATATTTTACTATTTTTGAATGTGTGTTCTGTTCTGCTGTGAAGAAGTGCTTAACAAAAGTAGCCTGACTGTTCTCTATGGTATTCTTACTAAAAATATTTTTTTTTGACAGAAGAATCCTGGTTCAAAGCAAAGGAATGAGAATTCCAGTAACAAGCCACCTCTGCCAAATGCGACTGCATCACAGTTTCGTAAAGGGACATATCATGAGTCCCTTGATTTTGTTCACTCCCTATGCGAGACGTCATATGGCTTAGTAGATGTTTTTCCGGTTGAAGATCGCAAAAGTGCTCTTTCTGAGGTTGTGCTTGTCTTTTCTCTCAATACCAGGTTAAGCTTTTATTTTCTGTGTGGATGACCATTATTTTGTATTTACTGAATATTGGAATTTGTGATTCATGTGTTTGTAGTCACTCACTGAGATCAATGTGCATGTTGCTGCAGCGCAAAGTAGTGGAGGTCTCTCTCTCTCTCTCTATCTCTCTTTCTATTTATCTCTGCATATATTTTCATACACGCTGGCACATAGACATGCATGTCCAACAGTATGTATTCACTCATAAGTATATTCACATGCATTACATAGGAAAAGGAATTCTTAAAAGTTAATTATTTTCGTGTTCTTATAGGAAAATTTGTGAAACATATTCAGATATTCTATCAATACCCAAGTCTAAATACACATATTTTGCATGAGGCACACATCATGTTCAGGGAGGTGCACTCCTTGTCTGTAAGGCATAGTGGTGCAGTGGCCCTTTCACAAAAGGTGATGAAACATATCTTTTCTGGGCTACCTTCTAAGCAAATGCATTTTATGCCAAATAAAATATCTTGGGGTTTTTATTAAAACAACTTTTACCTGTAAGGTTAGATTTGACAAAATTGATTTCTTCTAACTGATGAATCATTTACTTCCTCAAAACCTATTGCTCGCTGTTGGTAACATTGATGACCACCCTTAATAGAAAGACTTATGAAGTTGATGGATGCGCTCGATTACTGCTTAGTTGGCCAACTGCCGAGTACATGTATATATGCTTTGCTAAAACCATATTTTTCATACTTTATCAATGGTTATTTAAAACATGGCTGGAAAGAAGTGGCTGATTGGTATAGAAATATTAGTCACGTATGTGTTGTGACATCTATTCATTACTATCAAATCTTATCAAGTTAAATATGCTTGGTGGCCAGATAGGCAAAGTTAGTGGCCAGATTGAAGTGATTGCACATTCCAATTTGTTGCAAGAACGAATGTATTTTATGTGAATATTGCAGTGTAGGCTGTAAGATTTTTCTTTATATGGTTCAAAGGCTAAAATGACTACTTCAATTAATGGCTACATATATGTATGAACCTTTTTGCAAGTGTTGCTCCTCGTTTTCATGTGTGAGAGTGAGGTGTACGCCTCATCTCACACCTTGGCAGCTAGGTCCCAAGAGTATCTATCTACCTTGGTCTGTTATTTTGCGTTCCATAAAATTGGGAACACTGAAGTCCTCATGACTACCGGGTCCAAACCTTCTTTTTTCACTTCATTGTCATCCTTTAAAAGAGCGAGCAAATGAAATAACAATCACATCTTATTTGCCTCCTTAACATGTACACCAATTGGATTTGACTACCAAAAATCTTGGTTATTTTAAGTTCTCATGTCTTAACTTTTACATCTGTCTTCCCTTGAAATCTATGATGCAAATGGTTGAACTTGAAGTGTTGTGGACAACCAGATATAAATTATTAAATGAATGCTACAGCCTCTATATGACTTGAATGACCTTGTTATGGTTTATATAAGTATATAACTGAACTTACGATGTAGACCGACTAGAATGCACCTGTCCCCTTTTGACAAAGAAGTAAACTGTTTCGGAGCCAAAGGTTTCCTGTGACTTGAACATGCTATATGAAAGCTTATTTGTATGTTCCTTTCTATTTTTTACAAGCAAGGGAGATTCTTCTGATGTGATCATTTTTACAACTTTTAGAAATATATGCACCACCTAGTACAAGCTACTATATTCTATATCCCAACTAGTATGCAATAAAAAGGCACGTGTTGTAGTTGAAGCTACTATATTGTGGTATTGTAGTACTCCCTCGATGTACTACATTACATCTAGGCACTATGAAAACCACCAAAGGGATGTAAACCATATTGTAGTTTTCATTACAGTACTTCAAATGGTGGGGATTTTAGTGTATGTCTCTTAATTATCCAATGAACTTGTGGCATTAAAAAATCCTGAGGGCATTTTTGTCTCAAAGTGGAAGTGCTTGAGTGAATAAGAAGAAAAGGAATACTTGAATTTGAATATTCCATCAAGGAGAAGGTGCATGTCTTGCCTAGAAAGAATATTTTACTGCAATGTATGTTCTTCTATGCACATGTAAGTAGCTTTACCATGCTACAGTTTGTTGTGTGGGAGATTACATTGTAAATATGTGTGTGCTTGCCTTGTACATGGCGTTTACATCGATTATTTCTGTATCATGTTTCATATTGTTGGCTACAGTAGTCTACAATTTGTTTTCAATCAGCTTGTGAAGTGAATTTATTTGGTTCGTTGTCTTATATTAACTGAATGGATAAATTACAACCTTAAGTTCAGCTGTCTCATTTTGAATATTTTTTTGTTACATGGTAGGCGTGTGCTTTCCCATGGGGAAGGGGATGTATCGTGTGGTTCATATACCAGAAGATGAAGCCGTTCTTCTTAATTCCAGGGAAAAAGCACCTTACCTTATATGCGTTGAATTATTGAAAAGTGAAACTGTGAGGTAATTATGAAATGGGCGAAGGATCGTGTGAGAAGAAGAGTTGAGGTGAGAAACGTAAGAAGGGATTTGGACCCTTGATCACTTTTAATCTCAAACCCACCCATGAATTGCGCTTGATACGGGGATTGATCCGGTGTATCATGGTGCATTTCATCTCGGTGCATCTCATCCTAATGTGCATCCAAGGGTGGAGATCCCTTCTTACCTTTCTCACCGGGACCCAACCCTTATGAAATATAACTGCTCTCCCTGTCATGGACTACCTCTGCTTTCTATTTATTGTTTTTTACTGTGATGATTACTTGGTTCTGTATGTAAGGTCTTGTGTTTATGTCCTTGTTCAGTAGTACCGTAAAGGATGGCTCTAGTTCTCAAAAACTTTCGAGGGGTGGAATTCCATTAGCTAATGGAGATGCATTTCTGCCAAAGCCTCCTCCTTGGGCATATCCTTTATCGAATGGACAGGATCTTTACCATTCTGGTTATGATAGAATGTCAAGATCTGCTTCTGATGCAATTGACCAGGCAATGGGTCAATTGTGGGATTCGAAAGCGAAGTTTGTTAATGTGCGCCTTTTAGTGGAGAATCCATTGCCATGCTGTTCAAAGAACTTTGAAGCATCCAATTCAAAATTTGACATTCATCATTGTGAAGGTGGGAAGTGTGCAAGTTATCCATCTAGAGCAGCGGATGGCAGTGATACAGAATGGGTAAGAGTAGTGTTGACTGCAGATTCTGGGGTCAGCATGGATGACATAGAGGTTCAGGAACCACCGAGAAGGAGGGAGCATCGTCGTGTTCCAAGTACCATTGCTTTTGAGGAAGTGAAGGTACATTCAGCATATCTTGACTATTACTGTCTGTTTCTGTTGCAGATTTTATTTACTTCCACATCTTAAAAAAGAGTCATGAGTGCCACATCTGTGAAGCAAATGTGTAGATACATAATACAAATATGATAAAACCTAAATACATTTCTTGGGTTGGGCTCCGGTGAGAATGGAAGTTATGATGAGAAGGGTAAGAAGGGATCTCCACCCTTGGATCAATCCTAATTGAAGAGCAACACTAATGAGATGCACCGAGATGCACCGGATCAATTCCTGTGAGAAGCGCAATTCATGGAATGGGGGTGAGATTAAAAATGATCAAGGGTTCAGATCTCTTCTTTCGCTTCTCACCCTAACTCTTATTCTCACACAATCCTTCATCTACATTTCATTACTATAAGTTATGTTGGGATGCATTTGATCATATTTTTTTGGACTATGTTGCCATATTCACTTCTGTTACATTATTGTGGTTATTAGTAGTTTATCGTTAAATTCTGCCGATTGCATCATATGGGCAGGAGTTTTTTTTTAAGTGCCACTGAAGTCCAGGTCTGAACACTGAAGAGGCAGCATTTAAATTCTGAACCATTTAGACGGTATGAAAAGCGAGCTGAATGCATGATATTGTTTGAAAATGAAGTCAAATGAATTGTCTAAGTGTCTGAATAATAAATCATTTAATTCCAAAGTACATCAATAGGATATATAGAATTCTTTTACCCACAAGGCATGCTCAACACAATGGAGAGAAGATACGACAAAGAGAACATTCCTGTTTTGATTAGCCTGAAAGCAGAAGAGTAACAAGAATGAATAAAATAAGAATACAAAAGGCCCTCAACTTGGTTACTGGAAAGGAGACTCACTTAACTTCTTTTTTGGGTAAAGGGGACAGTATCTCGGTTTTTTTTTTGTAAAACATCCAACCGGCTAATTGACTGCCCATTTTGAAATGGAGGACTCATCTACTTTGTATACACAAGTATTAATGCTTTTGAATTTGCAAAACTGTGGCTTCTAGCTAAGCCTCCAAATCTTTTTCACAAGCTGGGGAGCTTCTCGGAAACAATCTCTCTACCTCTTGAGGCAGAGGAAATATCTATGTACATCTTACCCTCCTATACGCTACCTTTCGTGTGGGATAAACCGGGTTTGTTTGGTTTCCTAATGGTTTTGCAAGTTTGAGTATTTTTTTCTATTTCTATTCCTATTTAATAATTAATAAAGAGATTTTATATGGTAAAAGACGCAATTTTGAAGTATTTCCTTGCTAAAAAATTTATCCATTGAATGTTATCCCTTAATACACCTTAAGCCTATAATGTGCTGAGTGTGCAATTGGGCTTTAACATACAACATAAGCAGTGGTAGGGTTGTGTCTCTGTGTAAGGGTTAATTGCATTTGTGTTGAACCAAGTATTGACTTGTGTACCCACTGAAAGTGGTGATCCAACTATTTGGAAAAAATGGACACTTCAACATAAAACTATAATAGCCTGTTAGTGATCATAGGCAAGGTTTTTAAGGAGGGAAACGAGCCTTGAGGCGTTTTCCCATTAGGTACGTGAGGCGTAACCCCAAAAAGTAAAACAACAAAATGCATAAATGCATAACACTTAACAAAACAAACATAATTCCATAAATGCAGTAGGATATGGCAGCAAAATACGGCAAAAACAGAATATATGTATATACACACACATACATATATATATATATATATGTATGTGTGTGTTATAGCAGATGGGAATATGGAGGAGTTCTTACTTATTTCAAATGCATATGTTGTTTGTTCATGCAGGCTGCTGCATTAAAAGGAGAGGCACCTGCCGGGCTCCCTTTAAAGGGGACTGGTCAAGCTTCATCAGATGCACAACCAAAGGTGAGCACTAGTGAAGTGGCAAAAAACTTGTATTATCTTCAGCAGCATGTAATCTCTGAAAGATGTCTCATTTGAAATAGGATATAGATGGTGCAACTCCGAAGGCAGGTGATGCATTATCTGGTGAACTTTGGCAAGCAAAAAAAGATAGAATTCGTCAGGCTTCAGTATATGGAAAACTTCCTGGTTGGGACTTGTGCTCGGTAAGTTTGCAATTGATTGACTTCCTGAATATTGAATCTGTTAGCAATCCATATTTTGTGTTTTTGTTTTTGCTTTCGCTTGTGTTGTTTTTCTTTATTTCTTAAGTGAGCAAAGCAAGCTGTATCTTGAAAATACTTGGTCTTACTTGACCGGGGCTTTGAAGTTAATTATGTTATTGTTATCTGGCAGATCTAAATAGAAATATATAGGCAATTTCCTACCTTCTAAACAAGTTGATGTTTGCTTCAAATTATCAGAATTGAACTTTTTTATACTATCATCAGCGAAGGGAAGTTTTCTTAAAAAACCAGAACTTACTGAACTAAAAACTAACATGATCCTCTATGTGGTTGAGCATTCGAAATGGTTCTTTGTGTCCTTAGTAAGTTGTTAATATTACCAAAAGTTTGAAGGCACATTAATAGCTGCTTGTCATCAAGTGACAAGTCATTGATATGATGTTAAATAGTCATGTGAGAATCTGTAGTAACAGAATTATCCAGTTATTACTATTGATTTACGTACTTGTTGGTATTTGCTGCCAGCTTACATATGTTGAAGTAGGTAACCGTGTTTTGTAGCTCTTCCACTTTGCTTCTATCTATTGCGTACAAAATTTCTTTGAAAATTAAATTTTATGAATCTTTATTTTTGCCTCGATGGTGGTTGTATATGCTACAAATGAGGAACTAATATGGTTGGAACACATTGAAGATTTTGTTTTCTAAAAGATCATAATATTTTACTTTGGTTGAAGGCGAGTGCACTCCAATCAAAAGGTGGCGATGAGGCAAGTTTGGCATGGGAATTGTGTACTTCAAATTGTTAATGGGTTACAAGTTATGATCTCATTTCTGTTCTCTTTAGGGAAGAACGAAATGTTTAAAGGAATCAAGCACTTCTAATTGGGTTTAATAAAACCTTGTAAAACTGTTAAATGAACTAAAATGTTGATCAACAAGAATTGAGAGAGGGGGATGGAGTTTAGAAAATTTGAACTGCGAATGCGTCATACATTCTTTCGGTCTTCTTTATACATTCCAACAAGCATCTTGAATGTTTGTCTCCTTTATCCCAAAATTAGTCATAACAAGTAAGGCAGTTGGAAATTTGAAAGAAAATTACGATGCAATTTCTCCATCATTCCAAACAAGAAAAGAGCTTTTTTTTTTTGGGGGGGGGGTTGTTGGAGAAATAGTAACTCAATTTCTACTCTTATGAGCAATTGATATGATTAGAAGATAGCATGCCTACCTTTCTGTCACAGTTCAGCTGTGTTTGACAGTGTTGTATTTTCTTATTATTTTAATGTCCACACTTGTCTTAATATGCAATAATTTCTTTCTAGGTTATTGTGAAAAGTGGCGATGATTGTAGGCAGGAACATCTTGCAGTGCAACTTATTTCTCACTTTTACGGTATGTTTGTTCGTTATTGATTTGATTGTCTAGATAATGTATATTTTTGAAAATCATAAGGACATTGTTGTAGTAGAGACAACTTAAAACTGCTTGGAGGAAAGGTACTAAACCCAATTTATCAGTTTTGAGTTCTTACATGGGCTTCCTTCATACGTACGACCAAAAAACATGAAATATTCTCGTGGACAGACATTTGCTTCAGTTAATTGGCTCAATTTATGCAGTGCAAGCTTTTATATCCACATATTTGTTGGAAAAAAATTGGTTTCTTTGTGTAAATGTTCGTACTATTGATACACTCAAAAAGAGTGAAGCTACAGTATAGGAATAATTAAGAAACAAATAATCTGAAAATTATGGTCTAATCAGAATCCATGAGAAACTTCCGTTTGGAGTACTATTGTTTCTTTGTTAACCTCCATTTCTATTTCATGCCTTGTAAAAGATACTAGATGAGACTTATTGCATGAATTGGCACCCTCCTGCCAAATTACGGCTATGTTATTACCAATGTGTGATTCATATTCTTTCTTCTCGAATCCGAAGGGGTCTTATTTTCAGTGTGATGATACATGGAGATGGGACCAACAAATCGGAGATGTGAACTGCATAGTTGTTATGATGCCACAAGATTCATGACGGTAGCAAACTGCCAAGATGCCTATGGCTTTCGTCATGGAGTGTGTACGGCAAGTTGTTCATGTTGAGCAACTTACATGTGTTCTTAAATTAACTTAAAGAGGACATTGAACAGTAGTTACGAATTCTAGACAACACCCTCCAAACATTAAGACATAACTAGAACATAATTTAACCACCAAACACCAAAAGTAATAGTTAATATATAATAATCTCTTTGAGAATGAAAACTAATACCTATATATATGTTACAAAATGGTTAAAGGTAGAAATAAACTAATAAGAGAAAGCTAAGAAGATAACAAATAGTGAGTTATGAATTAACATGACTCTCCTAACACTTTTTAAGCTGGAGCATAGGTGTTGATCAAACCCAACTTGGCTCAGATGAAGTTTTGTTTGAAACTTCTGCAACGTCGTGTTGGAATGTCTGTGAGTTGGTGCTCCCTAGAGGTGAAAGTCGGTTGAATGATGGAGGAGTAGTCAAAGTACACATGATTCGGTTTCTTGCGAGACGGCAATTGTTTTTTTTGGAGTATATAATATTTATTTATGGCAAATGGAACAAATAATCTCACACCCCCTCATCCTTTGGTGAGGTTTGAACCCCTGACCTCCTAGGAGGCCAAATGCTTACATTCCGCTAGGCCAAAGGCCTTTTGGTGATATGGCAATTGTTCTCAATGTCTTTGGGTCTCATGAAAAACTTGATTTTTTTCTATGTGGATTTAGCAAATTGATTATCACAATATAGTCTCATTAGTTTATTTTCAGCCGTTAGGTCCCTTTCATCTAATCATCTCATAGTTGACATCTTTTATAGCACGGTAATTGGCTTCAACACTAGATCATGATACTGTTTGTTGCTTATTGCTTTTCCATTAGACAAGATTCCCACCTTCAGAAAACAAGTAGCCAATCATAGTCCGAAGATAAAAAGACATCTTGCCCAATCGGCATTTGAGAGTCTGACAATTTTTTAGATTCCTTTTGGTGAAGTCACTAGTAATACACTAAATGGAGCTGGAATATAGAACCTCGTCTCTTGTAATTTAGGAGATTACCGAGCCCAGTTATTAGTAGCAAAAAGAGAAAGGACTTTCCGTTTGATTTCTTTTTAATGCGGTAAATTCGGTCACTTTCTTTAACAGCAGGAAGCAGCAGGCAGAAGCTAGGCCACTAATGGGCCTCTCCCTTGAGAGCCCTCTAGATGCCTAAACTTTGATGAGAGCGATTTAACTACACTCAAGGATTGAGAGATATCTGATTGTGTCACAATCATATAAATAAGCATTACTATAAGTCGCCTGTGTTTTCTATGGATCTTTCAGAAGTTCCAATCTCTGATGATAGCCATCGATGACTCTACTGGCTTGCACCCCATCAATTGGCACTTAGATAATAAATCTAATGCATGCGTTCTTTGACATTACACAATTTTCTGCAGGCATTGGTATACTTCAATCCCCAGAAAGTGTTGAAGATGCCTAAAATTAGTAACATATGACATGATAACATTTTTTAAGTAGAGATGCCTTGATGATCAGCACTTACCATTACTATGCCTACCGCCAGCATAATATACCTTGATGTCAATTGAATACCGAATAGTAGTTACTCCTGGATAACTAGAACCATAAAAAGAAGGATTTTGTCAATAGGCGAGAATTTCTCCTTATAATCAATGTTGTAGGTTTGGGAGTAGCCTTTGGACACAAGGTGAGCCTTCAGACAGCCAATGGATCGATCCTCATTTAACTTCATATAGCATGCATCCACTTACAAGCTGGTTTAAGTTAAAGAGGAACCAATAAGATAAAGCTAACAAGATAAATATTAGAGAATTAGAGAACCATGACTTAATCAGATACCCCTATAAAAACAATTAAAACAAGTCAAAGTTCAGCGAATACGACATAGAATAAAGTATCCATCGAAGTTAAAAACTGTTAAAAGTAATTGCTAGCATAATAAAATACAATTACTGATGTAATAAACTAATATGAAAATGATACAGAGTTTTACTCCTATAGACTGCTACTGATGAGAGGACGTGTATGCAATATACACACATATAAGTGAAACTAAGAAGATGAGCAACCTGTGGGACAATGGAGTACATTAGGGTTTTCTGTTGTTAAATTTGGATTTTCTTAACCTTCTTTGGGTCCGTTCAGATTTGGGTATTGGGTATGAAATTGGTTTTCTTTAACCAGAATATTGCCTTAATTTTTCACGTTGAGATCAAATATCACATGGCCAAGGCATTGCATCATTATGTCAACTATTGACTGCCAGGACGCTAGGCGAATGCCGTAAAGGCTACAACTGAAATGGAGGAAAATTAGGAAACATAAGATTAAGTAATGGCCCTTGAATCTTCTGTCATTGGATTATCTGTAGCGATTGTAAATATACTAAAGTGAAATAGCTTATTTGTTGTAATTGTTTCTTTGTTGTTCTAATTGTTGGGAATTTGATGGTTTCTCCTAATGTCAGATATATTCCAAGAAGCTGGACTACCTCTCTGGCTGCGCCCTTATGAAGTTCTTGTCACATCTTCTTACACAGCTCTGATTGAAACAATTCCAGATACAGTATGCTAATTCATTTATATCATTTATATGTCTGAAGTATGGTCTCTAAAATGTACTCCACTCACTTTTTGCAGGCATCACTTCACTCTATCAAAAGTAGATTCCCGAATATCACAAGCCTGCGTGACTTTTTCATCGCCAAATATCAAGAAAATTCGCCAAGTTATAAGCTTGCACAGGTAAATGCCAGTTGAGAGGGAGCATCTTATCTAACATCTCTTGTGCATAGTTCTGCAAGTCATTACAAGTATGATTGTCGGATTCTTCTCTAACCATTTTCATCATTGACTCTTGCACATTATTTCTACATCTTATCTGCCTCTTTTTTTATATGTTTCTGCATGTGTCACAAGTTCTTAGAGCATGTCCAACAGCTTCTTCAAAATGGAGAAACTGGGGATTTTGAGCCAATATTTTGCTCCAACAGCTTCCCCAAAACTCTCCAAAATGGAGAAAGCAGGAGAGAGAAGGGTTTTTCCTCCAAATATGGAGAACACCCCAAAAATGATTATTAAGTGAGAGCACCAATCGAAAAACTTTGAAAATAAATATTTAAAGAGAGATAATATTTTAATATATGAATGAAATATGTAAATATTATAATCAATGTTGGATTCTCCAAAATGGGGAATCTGTTGGAGATGAATGTAATTTATTTTTGGAGATTTTGACTTTTGGTTCTCCATTTTAGAGATTTTGGGGAATCTGTTGGAGATGCTCTGATTGGCTAACCATGGTATTGTCACCTGTAACCCAACTAGTCCATGTGGTCAATACAAAGCTCCCCCTTCACATGGACTGGCAAACTATAGACCTTTTGGGACAGCAGGTGTGGCCCCTGTGAGTCAATAGCGCCTTGTGGACCTGAGACCTGATGCATGAGGCACCCAGGTTCCTGTGAATTACTACAGGTCAACTCTTGGGGTTTGTGTCAACTATTTTGATTGGTTGATTGCTTATCCTATCATTTTGACCTCTATATTGTCTGTTATTTCTTCTTTAACTATTATTGAGTCTGGAGATGTGGGGATTGAGGAGGTTGCCCATACCAAGGAGGTTGCCCATACCAATGAAGTTGCTTTAGGAGCCAGACATGTGTTACTGCTTTGATTGCGTATCAGAGCACTTGCTTCTGGATTTTAGATATCCCCTTTTGTCATCAAAGTGGGACATTTGAAAATATTTGTAGATCTGTTAGCTGGTGCTTTTGTATATGCATGGTACAATGTGATTATTAGATAAAGGAGAAACGCAAAGATAGGTCTGTGTTAATCTAGGAGGTAATTTTTGTGTTAATATGTTATATACTAAATAAACAATGCACAAAAAGGACTCTCCGTGTGGGTTTTTAGCACTAGATACGTGGGTGCACAATATTTGTGTATGACCATAAATGGTTACAGTAGCTTTGGCTTGAGTTGCTTCCAACTGTTAGTATGCCGCTGAAGTGCATAAAAGTTATTGACTTCTCACTTTCCATCTCTCAGCTAATGCATAGTTTAATATATTTTCTGAGTCATTATTTTCTTTGAGGGTCTTGAATTTGATCTACAAGATTCTGCATATTCTTATTGAAAGTACTCCGATATTTGACAAATAGTCAAACACCTATCTTAGTTCATGTGCCTGGTGAAAAAGTACAGTTTCTGGAGGACATCGTTACTCCGGTTCTTGCCAAGCAGTGTTGAGTTGGAACCCGGGTTTTCCATTAGGAGCAATTACTTGGTGAGAGGCGGTTGATTGTTACCGATCTTAGTGGAATAGATTCCTTCCATTCTAGGTCAAATCTTTTTGATTGAATTTTCACCTTTCCCTTTGGCTTTTCTTTTCTTTCAGAGGCCTCTCCTCTTTGATAGTCTTAACAAGGTGTGGATATCAAGAATGACCCTTCATGTTTATTACTAGTTTGATGATCGAAATTGATCAGTGGTTTGCTTGTTTGAGACAGTATGTCCAAAACGCATGTATTATTTGGCACTTTGATTACCATATATAAATATATAAGAAAGAAAAGGTGAACTTAGGAAAATTAGAAATACAGGCATGTACTTCAATTTATTCCATTATGTAAAAGGACTGATGCAAACTTGAGATAAATAGAAGTACAAGTTTATAAACTCTCTTCAAAGAGTGAAATTCTATTGCTCATGAGTTAGTAGCCTGTGGATTGGACTATATATTTCCTTTGCTATCCAATGTAATGGAACCGATCAACTATCATTATTGAAATGAAAATGGGATACCCAAGTTCATACTCTAGTGTCTCTCTGGCTTTTAACAGTGAATCTTTGTTGCAGAGGAACTTTGTGGAAAGTATGGCTGGATACTCCCTGGTTTGCTATCTGTTACAGGTGCTTTTCTCTTCCTTTCTTATACAATCCACACAAATACATTCTCATGACCTGATGACCATAACCCTTAATATACATTCTTAAAATACATGAAACATTCTCATTTACATGCTAGTGCTTGAAAATTATTCTTGCACCCTTTGTGGTATCTGGATAAAATCTGAGTGCTTCAAGATGATGTTTGGCGGTTCATTGTAATCGAAACTGCAAAATGGTTCTAGGATGTTAATTAGATGTGCCTCAGTCAGATAACATTTGTACTACCACAATCAAAATAATTCTTAATCGAGGGAGCACAAATCAGAATATACATAAATGACATAATTACTGGTGAAACGATGCAGTTGAAGAAACTATTCAAGAATCCTAGGCTTACCATGGTAGTGCCTATTTTTTTCTGAATGACAACTAGTCTATTCATGTTGCTTCACGTGGGCACTAACATTGTGCAAAGCTTGGCTACACCTAAACAGTGTGCTTTTTTAAAGTCTAAATTTTTAGACTTCATAAGCATTAAAGCCAAAGAGCTGATCCTTTTTCAATCAATTAGCTTTCAGTTGGTGCTCCTAAATCCGGTAAACTTTTTGGCCAGGCGTCTTCAATTTTATATTTGAGGGAGCCTTTTGATTCTTGTTTTCTTCATCTTTCGTTAAGATAGGATGACATCTGAAGTTAGCACTCATGGCAGCTGTTTAATTCCTATAACTTTTGTAGTCCATCTGAATGGAAATTTCAGGATTACCTTTCTGTACGTGTGACACATCATGTCCTAACGTTCCAGTTCTGTACAATATTTGTAAACCCATCTCAGCATACTTCTTTTTATTTGTGGAAACAAGGTTAAACACAAGCCTTGAGTTGTTGTGGCTGCTCCTTGTCTACAACTTCTGACTTATGTTTGGAAATAGTAAAATAGTAAAATAATGGTGTGTACTTGAGATAGGAAAGAACTTTTGTGTTACACCTTCAGTTTTCATTAAATGAACTGCACTTTCTAGCACCACCTAAAAATCCAGAAGTTTTATTTCAAATTTTGGAAGGAAAAATGTGGTTCTGCAAATTAGATATCCATTATAATTGAATTCAAAACCTAAATGAACTGAGGTGATGAGTACCAATATAGGTTGTATTTTGTTTGCCATGGTTCTTCTGCATAATGGTAAATATGTTGAAAAACATGTTGTACTGCTTATTCACAAGTGAATGATTGATCAAGCTACACAGCTTCATAAGAATTTCATTTTCTGCTTGTTTTGCACCTAGAGTCTCTGTATGTGTTTTATGCCAACCACATGATTGGTTGTATGGTACCTTGTACCCGTGTCCCCAATTTTCTTCCAAGAATAATAGGCGCGTGCTTTATTTTTTCTAATTATGTTAGATTATTGACTTTGGTACTTGATGGACATGCAATTTGCATAGTTATCCTTTAAGGTAGCTCTTGGTTTTCTGTTCTTCTGAATGATCTAGGGTTTGCTTGTTAGCAGCTTAATGAGCTTAATGGGACTCTCAGCTTATTCGGTCAGCTATACATGACTGTTTGGTAGTGGCTTAATGATACAGAAAGTGACTTATTTAGTAAGCTTCTAGGGGGAGCTCTACGCAGAAAACCAAGTTTTTCCCAAACCTGTCCCTCCCAATGAAGAACACGCTCCTTCCATCTATGAATAAACTCTCCCAAACAAAAACCTTCCCAATCTATACAGACAGATTAATCAACACAGACAGCTTTATCCATAAAGGACTTGATGAAAACCCAACCAAACAGCCCCTTAGTCACGTACTGAATAAAATGTTTCCCAATCAGCTGCTCAGAATTTGTTTTCTTTCGATATGGAGTCAGATTGGAACTTTATCACTTCAATTTCAAATTGTTTGCATAAATTGATTGAAAGTTGGTGGCCTCATGCATCATCACTTGATTTCTTTTTCTTATCCGTGCCTAGGTGAAAGATAGACACAATGGAAACCTCTTGCTAGATGAAGATGGGCATCTTATTCACATTGACTTTGGCTTCATGCTCTCTAATTCACCCGGGGGTGTTAATTTTGAGAGTGCCCCATTCAAGTTAACTCGCGAACTTCTTGAGGCAAGTAAACTCTAATAGTTTGGTGCATTAAAACACTGAAACTCTTGTGATAACTCAGAGTCATTAAACCAAGTAATTGTCTTGTTTTAGGTGATGGATTCCGATGCAGAGGGAGTTCCAAGCGAGTTCTTCGACTATTTCAAAGTATAATATTTATCAAGTTTTAACAAATATGTATACATCTTGGTATGTTATAATGCTCATCTTGGCCTCTGCCATCTGGATTCAGGTTTTGTGCATTCAAGGGTTCCTAACATGTCGTAAGCATGCAGAGCGGATAATTCTACTTGTTGAGATGTTGCAGGTAATGGTAACTTAATGTTTTTGTGGCCAACTATTTTATAGTAACTTGGTGGTTTTGTTCTTTTTTGAAGTATATAATAATTATATACGGCAAATTAATTCACACACACTCCTCGTCTTTCAGACATATCACACATTTACAAATAACATTTCTAGCCTTCCCTATCTGGTTCTAGTAAATGCTTTATTGAATTAATTTCATTTATTAAAATATTTTCCAACTGAGAGTTGCAACATTTCTTTGGTTCCCTAGTTGGTTCTAATAAATGCTTTATTGAGTTGAACTTGCAAATCATTATTTAATTTTATTTTTATTCTAATATTTTCGAGCTGTGAGGCACAACTTGTATAGCCTTCCCATGATGGCTCGATAAATGCTTATGGAGTTAAAGTTATATATTATTTTTAAATCTATCGAGTGTTGCAACATTTCTAGCCTTCCCTAGTTGGTTCTAGTAAATGCATGTTGAGTTGCATTTATTAATTTATTTATTATTATTATTATTGTTATAATTGTTAAAATATTTGAACTGAGAGGTACAACATTTCTAACCTTCCTTAGATAAAAATATTTTTAAACCAAGATTTGCTTTCCTTGGGAGATCTGAGACTTGCTTTCCTTGATGTGGATTCCACACTTTCTAGTTTTTTTTCTTTTTATAACCACATTAAACCTAAATAGAAAGTTCTTTTAGTGTAAAATTGGTGATAAATTCATGTCAATATTGCATAGAAGAGCGACATTTTGACAGCAAAATTCATGATCTAGCTCTTTGTTTTCCGTTTAGTTGAGTAATAATTAGTAGCAGCAGTCAACCTTCACATTCTGATGTTTCTTGTGATTATGGATTCTCAACAATGCCATTTTCTAAATCATAGCAGTATAAAGATTGTTGTTTTTGTTTTTATTTATTTATTGAGGATCATATATTTGGAGAAATCTGCACAAATCTGTTATCCTGATGATGATCCATCGCGACCAATTTACATGGCAGCATGATATATATATATATATATATATATATATATATATATGTGTCTTAAGATGCTTCCCCTTTCTATCTTTTCACCAGGACTCCGGATTCCCGTGCTTCAAAGGTGGTCCAAGAACAATACAAAACTTAAGAAAACGATTTCACCTAAGTTTGACAGAAGAGGTGTGTTTTCAAATCTTTATCATTCCTGACTTTCTTTCTTTGTCACACTTTTCACAACTCGAGGGTCTTCACGGAAACAACTGCTTTACTCTTAGGGGTAAAGGTCAGGTCTGCATTAATCTTAGGAGTAAAGGTCAGGTCTGCATTAATCTTAGGGGGCGTTTGCTTTTCTTTTTCCCCATTAAGCTCAGTATGGAGCAAGTTGTCTGTCCGGATAAAAATGTATTGTCCTTTTGAGGGAGGCACAGAGAGAAGGTTGGATTATTTTAGGTCATTTTTGGTATTAATTTGTTTTAGGTAGCTTAATGGGGCAGTGAGGGGTCCAGACTCATTCCATATAGCCATTTTGGTTTAATGTCTTAACGCTTAAGCCATTAAGAAATGCCCCCGTATAGCTGAGCAAATAAGCCGCTCAGACCATTAAGCTCATTAAGCCTGAAGTAAACAACCCCTTACCCTCCCTAGACCCCAGCTCAGGTGGGAGATACTGGGTTCGTTTTGTTGGGTTTGGATTATACTCGGGGCGCAGTTTTTATTCTAAGATGATTGATTCATCATTTTATTGCAGCAATGTGTGTCGTTGGTGCTTTCCCTGATTAGCAGCAGCTTAGATGCATGGAGAACCCGCCAATATGATTACTATCAGAGGGTTTTAAATGGCATATTGTGACGAGATTGGCATACATGACTACATTCGAAACACGCCAACTGATGATGAGTTGTGAAGCAAATATTAAGCTGAAAGATTTTCGTTTGAAGGTAAATAAATGCTTAGCAAGTTATTCAAAACTGCTTTGCATATTATATTATCTTTTGCCACTTGAACAATAACATAGATGCCGAATTTTGGGAGCATAATTCTTCTTAATACACCACCATACAATAGTGTACAGGGAGATTTCATGGCCGTATTTGGATCTTTGCCACAACTCCAGACTGTGTGGGATTTACTGGCTTCGTTTGATTTCGTTTATTTGCCACAAGACCCAGGTACAACTGTACATCTGTCTTGTATTTGTAGATGAATTTTTGGGCAAAATTTGAATTTAGAAACAAAGCAATGGCCAATCTTTTCTTTGTGTTAATAGATTGCTTCTATTTGCTTCATCAACATTGGCATATGGTAGTAATGCTATTATTATTATTATTGTTATTATTGTGTATAATTCTTGTTTCATTTGCTTTTTTAAAGAGTAATGATGGTATTTGTAATCCGATTTTTAACGATGATGATAGCCACTGTAAAAATATCGACTGGTTTTCTTGTTCGTGTGAGCCATCAACGACATCTGACAAGACTTTTGGTGGCTTCTTCTTTAGATCTTGGGGTTGATTTTCTTTTTTGCTATTAACCGTTAGTGTGTGGGCATGTATGTGGGCATCTTGACTA